GTTACCTGGCAAGGGGTGAAGCCAGTATCTAACTTCAGGGCTCTCGGCTGACTGTGCAAAAATCCCAGGATCCTGGGACTTGGGTAGTGTAGCCTTGGCCAAGTCACCTAACCTCTCAGGAGGTTAGTTTGCTCTCCCCACAGCAGAGGATAATGCCCCATTGCCTTCTTAGGGTTACTGTGAAAAACAAGAGGGATGATGGACACAAACCACGGTGTTCATTAGCAGGTACCTGCTGAGGACACAAACCTCAGCAGGTACCAAGTGCAAGCCCTTCAGCAAAGGGGCCTCCCCATCCTTACTCTTACTGGGCTCCCAGCTCCTGAGGTGTCCCTGTGCCCCAACCAGACATAGACTGAGAGACAAAGGACCTGCCAGGTCTCTGGGAAAGGACTAACTGACCACTTGGCACCACCTAGTGGCCCATGGTGTGTGGTGCTTGGGGAGAGGACCTGGCTGCTCTGAGATTGGGGGTTAGAGCATAAACATCGACCCGGTGGGGGTGGGCAAAATATGCCAGGACTTCAGAAAGGAGGAGGTCCTGTCTAGCCACGCCCTTGCCTGGCCACCCTCCAGAAGGTAGAGCGAAGGTGGACAACTCCAGGAAGCCCATCGGCGGCCCCCGGGTTCTGGGTCCATCCCGGCTACTGCTTGGCTCTGGAAAAATTGGAAACACCCCTGCCTCTCAGGGGACCTGGCTCTGTGCTGTGTGCTTTCATCTATCAAACATTTTATGAAGTGTCTTCTCTCTAAAGTCATCACGCTGAGTGCTGTGGGGACACAAAGACGGCTGGGCCAGGTTTCTTGCTGCCAAGGGACCCAGCTTATTCTAAGGGGAGACGGACTGGCAAACTGATCAGTACCCTAAAGGCAGACCACAGCGGGTGCTGGGGCGGGGGCTGTGAGGCAAAAGAGAGCTACGGGGGCCTGCGGGAAGTGGGACCCGGCGCTGAGCCCCCAGGGGTCGGCCTCCCTCCCCCAGCGCCCATCTCCTGCTTTAAAATCTGTACTAAAGAGGGCCCTGGAACTCCGTCATCCACACCTCTTTTCGTGTGTGCTATGCAGTTTCCTTTTCCTGAATGACTTCCTCCAGCTTGTCCCCCTGACAGACTCACCTCCAGCCTTCCTTCTGGAGATCAGGGGAGAGAGTAGGAAATTCATACAACTAGGCAACTAGGGAGAAAACAGAAGTCAAGGGGTCCCCCAGACAGTGGGACACCCCCATCATCAGGGCAGCATACTCAGGCAGGCTCACCGTCCCCCCTCAGGCTCTCAGCACTCATTCCCTTATGCGTTTGTTCTCTGCTCTCAGCCGTCCCATTCCCTGTGCTGGGCTGGGTGCTGAGGCTGAGAGAGGCGGGGGACTGACTCACTCCTGTTCTCAGGAGCCTTGTGGTACAGAAGACGACCCACACAGCCATGGACAGCACAATGGACGTGCTCAGCGGCTGGACCTGGCCATTCGGCCTGGGAAGGGGCAGGGTCACAAAGGAGGTGACCTCTCAGGCCAGTCACGAAGGATTCATCTGGCCATTACAGATTTGCTAGAATCATGCAGCCAAGTCAGGGAGACGTGAGCGGGGAAGGCATCTGCCTCAGAGTCCCTTTCCTCTCCCATTCAGCAGGTATTCTGTTATCTGATGTTATCTGATTCTTCGGTGCTAGTGAAAATGTGAGGTTATCCTGTTTGCATGTTTAGAATTGGTCTCCCTCCCTTCACTACAGGGTCCCAAGGCAGGGCCACGTCACTCTGGTTTACTGGGGGGTCTCCAGTGTCTAGTCCAGCATCTGGCTTACTAGAGACACCAGATAGAGGTTAGAGTAAGGACTGAATGAATGAGACAAAGTCTTCTTTATCTCAGCATGAGCAGATTACTGGGGACGGTTCTTCCTTCGTTCTGCCCACACTTATCTTTTTACTCCTGCCCTGCGCTCTCAGGGTCACCAGACCTTTCTGTTTCTTTGCCTCAAGGAAGCTAGCTATCTGAGGACCCACCCTTCTGATTTCTGCTTCCTAGGTCCAATTCCTTGAGGGGGCTATGCTGGGGGGAAGGAGAGTCAGAAGGAGGAGGCTTTCCAAGACTGGGGCGGGGTGAGTGGTTACGGGGTGCCCTGAGAGCACCACGGGGAGGTGGCAGGGTTCCAGAAGCCATGGAGCAAAGCCCCTGGAGAGACTGGCTCTTGGAAAGTCCCCATAACCTCCCCAGCCCCGCCCTCAGCCTGAGCAGGGCTGTGGCCTGTGGACAATGGTCACTGCCGGTGTTAGCAGCCACTGGGAGGCCCTGGAAATGAAAGGCCTGCTCCTATAAGGCCCCCTACCTGCCTGTATGACCCTGGGGGTGGGGAGCCCCCAACACTGACTGAGATGGGGTTTCCTGACACCCCCAGGGATACAGGCTAGAAGTCAGATTAAATTAGATGTCAAGAAAATAAAGAGCTGTGCGGTTGCTGGCATACCCTCTCACCAGACAACGTGCTGTGCCGACCTGCAGCGGCAGGCAGGTGTGTCTGCAGCTCCCCCACACAGAGAACACGTCTGTCTTTCTCCAGGGAGACTCTCCTGGAGAGTCTCTTCACAATGAGAAGGGATTGCTAAGGGCAGGACTTTCTGATGACCAGGCAGTCCTGTGAGGAAGATATCTTGAAGGAGGGCAGGTCCACACGAGACCAGGGAAAGTGGACATTGTGGTGCCTGGGTGAGGGGACAGGGCTGGGAGGGGCAGGCGCCTTGGCAGTGTGTGTTGAGGGTAGAGGTCTAGAGGAGAATTCCAGGAGAGACATGCTCAATAGTCCAGCTCTGGGGGACGATGTAAGAATCATCTGCCCGCAGAAGCCCTGGTACCCCTTGCACCTTCATTGCACATTCAGCCTCTTGCTGGTGGCTGCAGGACCGGCGTGGGAGACCAAGCCCACCCAGTCACATACATGCCTTTACATATGGACTGGGTGATGTGAGAAGAGGCAGAAGAGGGAAGGACTCCTTCCCCTGGTGGCTGTGCTTGGTGTCCAGGGGTGGCCACAAAGGTCCTCCTGGCCAGCGGCTCCCAGCTCCACTCTTGCCAGTGGTTCTAGCCTCCCCAGTTCCCACTTATTTCCAAGCCTTGGCTTTCTGGGCTTCATACCACTTCTCTGAGCTAGCCTTCTGCTCCGTTACCTTCCTCTCCTGCTTAAGTTCTCCTGAGTTTCTCCTGTTTCCATCCAAGAACCCCAAAAGATGCAGAGCTGCTAGAAAACACAAGACAATGCCATCTGTGCTGGACTGGATGTCCCCAAACTGTGTGTTAAGTGGAAGGAGTGAAAAATGCAATGTTCAACCAGATGGTAAGCTTCCTGAGGGCAGGGTGACGGTGTGACCTATTAACAGCTGGACCTGGGAGGAGGGCTGCCAGTGGGCAGATAGGAAACACTTGGGCCCTTGAGGCACCACCTTTAAAGGCCCTCATGGCTGCCACTTGTTGAGGGGGGTCACCCTGCGGGCATGGCTTCTCCTAAGAGCGTCTGCTATTGGGGGCAGAGAAAAGGGTTGATGCTATGGAAAAACAGTTGATTCCTCAAGGTCAGGAAGGGTGGTAGCAAGAACCAGACCGTCAGAAGTTGTCCAGGGGCCATGCTGGTACCCCTCCGAGGCTCCAGATTTTGTCTGCCAGAGGATCCAGTGTAGGAAGCAGACATTCTGGTGATAACCACTGGTAATCACAGTGACAGCTGCTTACTGAGTTCCTGCCACGTGCCAGGCCTCTCTTCCAATGACCCTGTGTGACAGGAAGTTACCACCTGCACTTACAGGTGAGGAGACCCTCTCAGAGAGGTGATGTAATGTGCCTAAAGTCACAGAGCTGGCAAGTGGCAAAATCAGGATGCAAAGCCAGGTCTATCCTCTGAGTTTTAACCATCAATCAAATTCTTCACAGGCCGTAGCCCTGCCTCCTCCACGAGGCCCACAGTGAAGCTGTGAGGCCCTGCAGCCCCTCTGAACTACCACAGCACTGAGCCCCCACATCAAAGGCCTCCACCATTCAAGCAGACACTCCCTGAGCACCCACTCTGCGCACTGGGGCCTCCACTGGCTTTTGGGAGACAAGGATAAATGCCTTCAAACAATCACACTTCCTGTTCCTCAGCCACCAGCATGGTTTCCTTATTCTTGACCCTTCCCATCATTGGAGATTCTGTTATATTATCAGTCATTGCTTTATGGAGTTGCCAATCCATGCTTCCGCCATAACTGGGTTTACACCTTTCACGCATGAGCAGGGAACCTTTCCAACAGTATGTAAGGGCCCCTGAGCAACTTCTATCAGCTTTGTGATCAACTGAAACTAGTCTGTGATCCCTCCCCCATCAGAATGTCCCAGCTAAGTTTTCAGAAAGGCCCAAAGTGGGAAAGTTTCAGCCTAGCTTCCAGCATTTTTCAGATGCTGCAATGCTGTTTCTCACTGTGTGGATTCTCCAGTTTGTCTTTACCTGACTGCTGGGTGGCAGCGACTCACCTGGTCATTTCACAGTGCGTCATCAACCTCAGGTCACTCAGCTTTCCAAACACTGGTAACCAGTGACATTAAGAAAACCTCACAAGCCCTGGCTGGTGTAGCTCAGTGGATTGAGCACGGCCTGTGAACCAGAGGATCGCTGTTGATTCCCAGTCAGGGCACATGCCTGGGTTGCAGGCAGGTTCCCTGCAGGCCAGTTCCCTGCAGGGCATGCACTAGAGACAACCATACATTGATGTTTCTCTCCCTCTCTCCTTCCCCTCTAAAGATAAATAAATAAAATCTTAAAAAAAAAAAAAAACCTTAGGGGGAAAAGTGCTAAAAAAAAAAAAGGAAAAAAAAAGAAAACCTCACAGAAGGATCCAGGAGCTCAGCCACTAGGGCGTTAACACCTGGGCGCACAGGAGGGGTTGGGGGCAGGACCACAGGCTTAGCCTCTGGGGACCGGGAACAGCCAGTGCCCTGGGAAGGGGAACCTTAAAGGGGAGCAGACAACTCAACTCACAGTCCTTGCGCAATTCACATGTTTATTTGCCCAAAATAAATACAATCTGAGAACATCCATTTCAATCCCTACACACTACTTCTTATCCCTGAAAGCAGCTTAAGATACAGGCGCACGGTTTGCTGTGCGTATCCTCACGTTGCCAGGCTCAGGAGGTGTCTGTCCTGGCTGTGCTAGGCTGGGCCTAGCTGGGAAATCACCTCAGGTTCCACGTGGCCTATTCCTGCCCCTGGAGCACCTCTCCCCTCTGCAGCCCGAAGGGGGCAGCATTCATGCCCACAGGCCTGCGGCCAACCCTCGCAGACAACTCTGTGCTCTAATACCTGGCCCACTCCCAATGGGCACAGAAAAGGTTACTTCTGACCCTGGAAGCAGCTCATCTAGGGCAAGGGGAGAAACTGAGGCACAGAGGGCAAATGGGTGGGAAGTACTATGCTCAGACCCCTGCAGGAGGCTGAGAGGCCCCAGTGAAGGGAGAAAGGGGCACAGCCTCCTCCTGCTATCCCTGGGCCCTGACCGGCCTGGGAGCAGGAGGAAGGGGAGACCATCCTTTGTCTTCTCTCTGCGACTCAGAGATTTGGGTCCACATTCTCCTGGTCTGAGACTGCGTCATCGTCATTTGGGGACTCCTAGATTGAAGCCAGAGAGCCCAAGTTACGGACTTCCGTGGTCCCTCAGGGCCGCAATCTGGGGGACCAGCATCTCCTTCCTCTTGCTCTTGTCCCCAGCGGAGCCAGAGAAGGCTCCGCCACCCCTAGTCAGGGTCTCTTGGCCTTTCCTCTGTTCTAGCTCCTAGGTGGCCCACAGCCATGTGGCCCACCACTGGGTAACTCCCTCTTACCAGTCCAAGGTCACTGCTCCGCCTCAGGGTGGCATAGAAGCGTAGCACACGGGGGTCACAGTGAACCACCGTGGGGTCGAAGTCCAGAACACGCAGGCCCTGCAGGCTGCGGGCCCGGGAAAGGGCCACGTAGGCCTGGCCACTGGCAAACACACGGCTCAGAGAGATCTCCACACAATCCAGGGACATGCCCTGCAGGTTGGAGAGACAGCGGTGGAGCCAGCTCTGCCTGAAGTCTTTTGTGTCCAAGAGCCTGACCCTATGTTACCAGCCCAGCTATTGCCCTTGGATCTCCTCGCCCAGTCCAGAGAGTCTCAAGGCGACCCTGGTGACCCTGGATGGGCATCTGAGTAGGAGGGGCTCCAGGAGACAGAGCCAGGATGAGAGAGAGGGATGGGGCGAAAGACAGACCTCAGGCCTGGGTCAGACAGCCACGGAAAGGAATCCTGGCTCTGCCTCTCACTAGCTGTGTGGCCTTGGACAAGTTACTTCACCTCTCTGAGCCTCGGTTTCCTCCTCTATAAAGATAGGAGTGATTATTTCATCTATACCTCATACAGTTGTTGAAGTATTAAATTTAACATGGTTGTGGCTCAGAAAACGACAGGGCAGGAGATGACAGAGGGAAAACGGAAAGAGATGGTATAGGAAATGCACTAAAGAAAGGTTTAGCCCTGGTTGGTGTGGCTCGGTGGGTTGAGCAAGGGCCTGTGAACTGAGAAGTTACTAGTTCGATTCCCATTCAGAGCGCCTGCCTGGGTCACTGGCCAGGTGTCTGGTTGGGGGTGTGCTAGAAGCAGCCAATCAGTGTTTTTCTTTCACATCGATGTTTCTCTTCCTCTCATTCTCTCTCCCTTCCCCCTCTCTAAAAATAAATAAATAAAGTCTAAAAGCAAAGAATCTACAACTGGTCTGGAACTTTGCATCCAGGGCAGGCTCAACCCCCACAAAGCCTTTAAGGCCCCCTCACCATGCCCTAGACCTATTTTGTACCCCCTGTCCCCATCCCCCACACTGGCTACTCACCTGGCTCTTGTGGATGGATATCGCCCAGGCCAGCTGGAGGGGTAGCTGCTGCCGGCTGAGCAGCTGGCCCCCAGTAGTCTGCACTGTCCAGCGGTCAGCACGGATGACCTCAGTGACTCCACACAGAAATCGCACCTGGGGCAGCCCTGAGGGGGGCATGGAGAAGTCCAACTTTTCAGCCCTGTTTCGGGGCTCACAGGTGAGGCACAGGCCTCACCTTTCCATCCTCACACTTACCCCGGGGACTTGCTGCCCCACGCGGTGGGTCTGCACCCCCATCACTCACCTCTCCCCTCCGTCTCGAACCCAACTACCACCCCTCGGGCGCCATTCACCAGGCCTCGGGACACTGCTAAGTTCTTCACCAGCATCACCTGCAGGGGAAAGAGAACAGAGGCATGGAGAGCTGCCCCACTCCCATGCCTGGTCTCAGGGGCAGCAGTCGCTGCTGCGGTTCTGGGAGGCCGGGGCCTGTCATGGAGGGACACTGAGTCCTAATCCTTAGCTAACTGTGAGCCCTGAAGCAATATGCTTTATTTCTCCAGGTCTCAGTTTCCCCTTGTGTCAAGGGGAAAGGCATTTGTTCAGGAGCAGGTAGAGCAATAAGGTAACAGATGTCATGGCTTTCAAAGCTTCCACATCTCTTGAGGGGTATGTGTGTGGGCCACAATCTTGAGAAATAGCCCCCAGATCCTGCCATTCCCCTTCCAACCACATGGTGCCTACCTCCTCCCTTTAGGTTGCCCTTCAGAACCCGAGGAAAGGCTCCCATCTGGCCCAGTCCCAACATGGTAGAAGGAAGGAAGACTCGCACATTATAGGGTATAGTACAGAGGACAACTGTGTGGGGTAGATATTTCACTCCCCGATTTAGAGATGAGAAAGCCAAGCTCCAGCAAGGGCAAGGGACTTACCCAAAGCAACACTGCTTGGAGCTCCAGGCAGAGAAACAGGAGGGCAGTGGGAAGCTGAAGACAGGAAGGTGGGTGGGAATAGGAGGAAGGGAGTTTGCTGTGGTTGCAGCTGGGCGGTCTGGCTGTGGATCAGCCTGGACAGAGGGGCAAAGGTTGGGGAGGCCAAGGTCCCAGGATCTAGGCCTTGCTTTCCACTCACCTGGGCCCCCAGCTTTAGCTGGAGTAGCTTGCTAACGGGACACTGGACATCCAGGGTCCGGGCTTGCTCAGGATCACTGTCCATGGCCTCAAAGCTGTGTACCTTACCTGGGAAAAAAGATTACTAGTTACTTATGTCTTAGTTTCCAAAAACACATCAGACCAGGGCATTGTGGGGGAGATAGTGGAGGTAGCTTAGGCCTAGCTGGGGCTTTAGAATCAGAGACCTGGATTTAAGACTCATTTCCAGCTGCATTTCCATCTTGACCATTTTAAGATCACACCACTCAAAATTGGTTACCTCTGCAAATGTGAGGGCCTTATGGTCACAGAGGTTGGGGCCTAGACATCTACATGATTCCAAGGGCCCAGGCTGCCTGGGAGGGCGGGTGGCATTACCTGCCCAAGAGCCCCTCCCAGCTGGTCTTGCCCAGCCTTGGCTCACTGCTCACCTGGCAGTTCCTGCAGCCGCCTCTCATTGGTAAGGGCCACATCATCCTGGTGGGTGCAGAGCCTCGTGGCCACAATCCCATCTCGCCCCACCTGGTGGGTGGCCGTAGCCTGAAGCTGGTGGGTCACCTCCTCTGAGCACCTGTGGGGGTTGGACTGTTAGGGTAGAGCCCACCCGAACACCAGGACCAGGGAAGGTGGGGCACATGGGTGGTATGGCCCAAGTAGCCATCTATGGGTCAGGCCTAGGGACAGGAAAGGGGCACCAGAGCAAGATTGGCTGGCCCCAGGCTGGCCAGTTTGTCTTTTTGCAACTTGGGCCCTGTACATGGGGACTGAGTATGAGATATATGGGGTGCTTGGCCATGGCTTTGTGTGGGCACCCTTTCCTGTGCCTGCCCCCAGGAAGGAGCTAGACACCTTCCCATCCCCAGTGCTCCTCACGACACGACGTGCCGAGTGCGCACAGTCTGGAGGCTCAGAGGACCTGGACCAGGCACTGATGTTGATATCTGTAATGCTGGTAGCCTAATCAGATCAGCCTCTAGAGGACAATCTTCTAGCCCCCGGCCTGCTGCCTTAGGGGAAAAAAGTTGAGCCTAAATTTCTAATTCGCCCCCACCTCCAGCCTTCTTCTACCCGGGGAAGCCTGGGTGCAGCAGCAACTCCCGTGGGAGGACAGGGGCCACCTGGGGCCCATCCCTCCCTGCTCTGCTGCTCAGCCTTCCGCTTGTCCCCCATGCATGCTGGTGCGAGCTGTGCACCTTCCTCCCTGCCTCCCGTCCCCAGGCACAGAGAGCGGCTCACTACCACCATCCTTCCTCAAGCCCGTCCCAGTCTGACCTGGCTTTCAAGGCTCAGCTCTGGCGCGCATGTCATCTGCCCTCCTGGCCTGTCCACTCCCATGTTAGAGTGGTCACAGCATTTCAACCTTTTGTCCTAGCTGGGCTGGGATCATGTCTGCAACCTCCCCTCTCCCACCAAGTGACCACACAGCCTTTAAGAGTGGAAGGATCCTGGGTTTTAGATTCAGACCTAGGTCTAAATCCCAGCTCACTCACTTCCTAGCTGTGACATTGGGCAAGTCACTTCACCTCTTTGAACCCCAGTTTCTGCACCTGTGAAATAAGAGTGTTGACATCTCTGAACTCTTATGTGTCCATCTGTCTGTAGTTCCCTGATGCCTGTTCTGTGCCAGGCCCTGTGTGGGTGATGGGGACCCCAACCCTGGGGGAGACAAGGTCTCAGTTCACAGAGTGATTATTTCCTATAGGCCTGGGAAGCATTTCTTCCCTTTCTCTGGGTCCACATGCTCCTCTGTGACACACACTTGGATGTCCTCTGTGACCCCTTCTCTATGCACAGAGCCCACCTGCCCAGCCTCACAGCCTGCAGCAGAGAGATGAAGGTCTGGTCTGCCTGCCTCCACACCTTGGTCAGCTCCAGGGTCACTGGGACACACCTCCTCCAGCTCTTGGCCTGGTGAGGGAAGGTGGGGGTGTCAAGGAGCAGAGCAGATCTCTGGTGGGGAGGCAGGACAGGAGGGTGAGTGATAGGTACCTGGAAGCAGAATTGTGGGGGCTGGGAGCCCTTGGTTACTGGTGGCAGCTGTAGGAAGTCCCCACAGATGATGAGCTGGATCCCTCCAAATGGCTTATTCTGCTGCCGGACAGCTCTGCGGAGAAGCAAGCCATGCTTTAGGGGAGAGGGTGGGTGGGTTCCTCATGGGAAACCAGCAGATCCCAGCCCTCACTGTACATACTGACCTGGCCACGGCCTCTAGCTTGTCAAATAAGTCCGCCTCCACCATGGAGATCTCGTCAATGACCAGCCGCTGACAGCTCAGCCAGCCTTGCCGCACACCTGGCCGCTGGGCTAGGGCCACACATTGGGCCAGGGGAGCCTGACCTGAGCCAATGCCTGTGAGTGACATTAGTCAGCCTGGGCAGAGACCCCAGCCCTGTCTCAACCCTGACATTCCCTTGCTCCCTTCCCACAGGCCTGGCTTGCTTCCAGCTCCAGCCGCAGGGGCTCTCACATACCTGCAAAGGCGTGGAGGGTGGTGCCCCCGATGTGGCAGGCTGCCACCCCAGTGCTGGCAGTGGCCACAGTGCCTGTGGGAGGCAGTGAGCCCAGGATACGCTTCAGCAGATAAGACTTCCCTGTCCCTGGGCAGAGGGCAAAGTCAAGACCACTTCTCTTCCGTCTTATCCCACCACCATTCTCTGCCCCCCTCACTCTGCCCCCCACAACCTGCACTTCCTGTGAAGAAAATGCTCTGGCCTTTCAGGACGACCCTCAGCACCGCAGCCTGTTCCTCAGAAAGCTGTAGTTTGGTGGGGGGCAAGCTCAGCCTCTTCACTGGCAGGGGCCACCTTGGGCCTTCCTGGGGAGACAGGACTGTCTCAGAGCCTCCTGCCTCACTCTAGGCGTTGCTGCCACCACCCCGTCTTGTCCCAGGTGCGATGTTAGGCCTGGTAGCCCTTGTGTCTCTGCTGGCTTCATTCCTTGGATGAAGGGAACCCGTGGGCAGCCTTGGTTCACCTGGAGATCTTGCCAGGAACAACTGGAGTCTAGGTCTCTCCTTGAGGAAGGGACCAAGCCTGGGTACCTTCTTACTCCTGGTTCCATGAAGACCCCACTGTGTGGGTCTGCTTCCTCCCTCAGCCCCCTCCCCAGGGGTTCCCTACCTCTTCGGGTCTTCTCACCCATCTTTCCCTCTCACTTCTCTTCCTGCCACAAACTTACCTCTGATCTCGAAACACCCAAGCAGAAGTCCGCCCAGTCGGGCCCCTTCTGGACCCATCTCCATCTTCTCGCCAGCTTAGTCTCAAACCCCAGTGGTCTGCGATTCAGTTCAGAAACTGTCAAGACCACCACATTCTGTCCCTGCCTCCATCTGTTTGGACCTGTTGGCTGCCTGGACACTGCTGACTACTTCATTTCCCCCAAAGCTTGTCTTCTTCTCCAGGGGGTCTGCATTCTTAAGTTTTCTTTTGAGGTCTTCTTTTCAGGCCTTCCTTCTCTGCTTTCTCTTTTAATGTGATCTGGACCCCCTTTCCCTATTTTGGCTTATCTAATCTCAGGGATTCACTATGAGAAACACATGCCCAATTCCCGAATCTCTGTCACACTCAGCTGTCTAGTGGGCATCTCCTCTGAGACAACATCTTCCCCCCAAACCTGGGTCTCCTTGGTCTTTTTCAGCTTAGTGGCACACCCAGTCTCCAAGGTGTTTCCTCTTCCCTGTTCTAACGGTGTTGGGCTCTGCCCCCACCTGGGACTCCGTGGGCCGCTTCACCGGCTTGGTGTCTGGGCCCCGGGTGGACACTGCGGGTCGCAGCTCCTCCGGCTGCACAGGGCTGATGGTAAAGAAGTCGCGGGACCGCGGGCCAAGCAGCTGCGTGCGGGAGGAGGGCGGCCCAGGACCCGGGGCCGAAGCCAGTTTGAGGCGCAGAGTGCGAAGGAAGCGGCGCAGTCGATCTGGGGGGCAGTCCGAGAGCAGCAACTGCACCGCGCCCGCCCCGGGAGCGCTGTCCCCGGGGACCCGCAGCGCGCTGCGCCCGGAGGCGGCGAAGCGAGTGAAGAGACGCGCGGCGCGTAGGGGGAAGCAGCGGGGCCGCTCCGCAGGCCCAGGCGCCTGCAGCCGCAGCATCAACTCGCGCCGCTCATTACGACCCAGCCTCAGCTCCGCGGTGCGTAGGGCCTTGCGCCTTCGCGGCTGCCCTCCCGGGCTCAGCTCCTCCACAGTCACGCGGCACCGCAACTCCGAGTCCTCACGTTCGGCTGCCGCTGTCAAAGTGTCCGACAGCATCGCCACCACCTCTGCAAGTCTGCAAAAGGATGCGAGCACAGGGGTAAAGAGGACTCAAGGACATAACAGGTGTTATAGAGCCGGGACGCGGAGCCCGGTCGAGGCCACACAGGTAACACAAAGAGGTCACAGTGATGGATAAAGGCTCTTGGGGCCAACTTAGGAAATTCGCTTAGAAATTACTGTCCTGCAAAATAATTTCCAGAGCGGCGATGGGCAGCGTCAAATGCCCCCTGGTTTGGGGTAAGGAGCCTCGGCTGTCCGGCCAAGGCCACAGAGGAAGGGAGACCCTGAACAGCAAAGAAGTCAGCTCCGAGGAGACCCAGGGAGGGCACGGGAGACTCAGAGTCGTTCCCCCGAGAAGCAGGGGAATCGCATGCGGGGAGATGAGCAAGGGGGCTGACAGTTATCGCCTTCCAGGTACGTTCACTGGTTTACACGCAGCTGGGCGGGTCTCACTATTCTCGGTTTACAAAAGTGGAAGCGGGCTGGGAGAGCCCACACGGCTTGTAGGAGTCCCGGGTAGTGCGATTCCGAAGCCCCGGCGCTTTCCGTTTCTAAGGTGGGGAAGGGGCAGAGTATTTGGCTCGGGAAATCGGGGCGAGGACGCTGCGGCCCTGCAACGTGTGTTCCCTCCGACTAAGCCTCTCGCTTGCACCCACCCAGCAGAGACCCCGCAAAGAAGCAGGGTCTCTTCCTCCCAACGCTGCGATCGGGTGGACACTCACTGCGCCGGTACTCGGATGAACTAGCTGAACAGAGCTGACTTGCCGGCGTTACTCAGGCTCTAGAAACTTTCAAATACTAGCAGTAGAAAATCACCCTATCCGTGGCTGGATCTTTAAATTTTCCAACCAATCAGAGCCAGGGGCGTGTCTCCTGCCCCGCACCTCCCTCCACCCCGCCCCCCCCCCCCACCGGCAACCCCAATTTGGGCTGTACCAATCGCACGCCGGAGGAAGGAGACTTATTGTGGTGGCGGAACAAACGTGGTCGTACGGGCAAGTGGGCGTGGCTCGAGACAGGGGCGGGGGGCGGGGCTTCAGCTGCACCACACGTGGTATGGTGCCACCCAACCCGGCTCTGAAGATTTAATTTCAGAACCACCAGTCCTGCTCATTCTCCCTCCCATCTAGCCCTTACACAGCGTCTGAACTTGGCCTTGGGGAAGAGCTTTCATCGATTCCTCCCACTTCTGTTTCCACTTGCAGGATCATTGCCCACTCCTGGGGAGATCACCCCAAGGCCTCAACTCTTCCTGCCCCTTCTCTGCCTTTGTAAGGGTCGTTTTATGCATTGTCTATCCCACCCTGCTGAGGCCGAACAGTGAGGAACTCTGAGGCCTGAGGGAAGCGTTGAGTTCGTTTACAGAGAATACTTATTCATCCCTCTGTTGCCCCGGATGCTTGGGGAACTTATTTTTAATTATTCCACCTCTCCCCGCCATCGATGCTTAGAATTACATAACCGAAAGGGATCTTACAGGTGAGTCCAGTCTCCTCTTCCCGCCTCCCCATTTATTTTTATAGCCCTCATTTTGCAAATAAGAAAACCAAGGCTCCAAGAGGTTTACCAAAGATCGCATAGCTTGTACATAGCAGAAATAAACATGGCCGAAGCACCTGTGTGTTTCAGTACTGCACCCCTCTGCTCCCAGGTGATTATTGGTCTTGAGCAAGGGAGTCCAAGCCTGGAGTGGAATCTCAGCTCCTGACGGCCCTTGCAATGCCCCAGTCCTGCCATTAGAGGTTACCCTAAGCAAGTTTCCTTAACGCCTCAAGCTTTTGTTTCCACAAATGTGAAAAAACAAAACACAAGATACATGGAGGAAAAAGGTGAAAATGTGATGATTGCACAACTCTGGGACTACTGAAAAATCTATTTGAATTGTTTGCTTTAAATGGGTAAAGTATGGTATGTGGATTATATCTCAATAAAACTATTAGGAAAAATCGTGAGAAATATGTTTCCTCTTTGGTGTAGTCTTGACTTATAAGTGCAAGTAGCATAAAATTTCAAAGTCACTGCAGTAGGCAGAGAAAGGCCACCTCCCCAAGTCCACATCCTGATTCCCAGAACTTGTGAGTATGTTATGTTACCTTACATGGCAAAAGGGACATTGCAGATGTAATAAATTAAGGTTCTTGAGATGGGGAGATTATCCTGGATTTTCTGGGTGAGCCCAATGGAATCATAAGGGTTCTTATAAGGGAAAGAAGGAGACAGGAGAGTCAGAGATGTGATGAAGGAAGCAGAGGGTGTGTGGAGGATGAAAGAGAGAGATTTGAAGATGTTACTGCTGGCTTCGAAGATGGAAGAAAAGGCCTTGAGCCAAGCCAGAGAACACAGTTTTCTGGAAGCTGGAAAAGACAAGGAAGTGGGTTGCCCCCTAGGGTCTCCAGAAAAAAGAATGCAGTTCTTGACGTTAACTCAATAAGACACATTTCAAACTTCCAGAACTACAAGATAATAAATCTGTGTTGTTCTAAGCTACTAAATGTGTTGTAATTTGATACAGTAGCAACAGCAGTAAGAAACAAATGTGTTTTTTTTTTTAATGCAGCACTCAAGTTTTGGTGCCTTCCTTCCTTCCTTGAGAGAGGGGAAGGGAGGGAGAGTGAGAAAAACCCCAATGCATGGTTGCCTCTCATGCGCCCCCTCCTGGGGACCTGGCCCACAACCCAGGCATGTGCCCTGACTGGGATTGAACTGGCAGCCCTTTGCTTCGAAGTCCAGTGCTCAATCACTGAGCCACACCAGCCAGGGCTTTTTAACAGTAATTTAATTGGTTCCATCAACAACTCCAGCACAATTTTTCCTGAAAGGGAGGCAGAATCAAGCTATCCAGAGGTTCGTGAGGTGTGGGGGTCACTGAGGAGCCCCCAAAGTCACTGACCTCACTCCACACACCTGGTGGCCCAGTAGAATGGGGGTGGGGTTGTGATTGAATGTGAAGAGGGAGCAAAGTGATGCAGGGTGAGGGAAATACAGGCCCTGACCTGCTCATTTGCCTGCAGGAAGGAAAAGGAAAGGCAGGAGAATCTCCCTGCACAGAAGGACGAACTACACATTCAAGTTTTCGATCTCACGTAGAAACAGATGAGCCTCTCTCCAACTGTCTTATATTAGGAACCCCTCCTCAAGCAGTCTGTCCCCTGTTTTATTTTCCCCATTCTGTATTCTAACTGCAGTTCAAACCCAACTTCTGATTTCTAAGTTCTGCCTTCCAGGTTCCTGGTTCCAGATTCTTGTTCCTGTTCCATTCTGTTTCCCACCCCCGATCCTTCCCAACGCCTTCTTTCCGGCCTTTCAGGGTAGAATAGGTAACTTCCTGCTGACTTCACTAACTTGAGGGTCTCCCCCTTACTTCTTGAGGCACTTCTAGGCTTTTCCCTAGCAGGAGGGACTTGGTTCAGACTGTCCATCAAGTGGGTGACCCAGGGAATTCCTGAGAGCTTGGCCTGGTTGGACCTCTTCCTTTCCCACCTCTAGCCACTGAACACACTACCTTTTATGCAACTAAACCGAGGATTTTCGTGCTGATAATGGAGGACTGGCAGCCTTGAGATGAGGAATCTTATGGAGAAATGTGAGATGACATTTAAAAATGTTCTTCAGAGAAATTAAAAGCTGCTTCCTGCACTGGTGAGGGAGTGGAGAAATAAGGTAGAAAGGGTCTGGGAAGAGCTCATATTTCTTCAGAACCCTGTCGGCTCATTGCCTGAGCTGAGCACTGGTCCCCAGAGTTTTCCCAGATCCAAGAGGGCAGCATCACTGGAGAAGTGAGATCTTCAAAGGGATCATGAGCCAAGACTCCATGTGCTGCACCAAGGGGACTGTGCAGTAGACATTTTTGTCCCGGCCCCTCCTCCTCCAGTTAGCATTTCTAGTTTCCCTCCAAGCGCAGGGCTCTAGGGGCCCAGAGATGGTGCCTAATATAGAGCCCTCCTATCTGGGAGAAGCTGCCCACTGCCTGCTGGTTCTCCTGTGGTACTTGATAGCCCAGCCCAGTTGTTCCTGCACTCAATCATGGTTCCTGGATTAAGCTTGTATGTCCTTAGCTGATAGATGTTGGGGCCTGCTCTAGGCTGTGGCTCCTTCCAGAAGCTGAACTCTGGAGCTGAGAACCAGGAGCATCTGGTTTCTCCTGGTCAGCTGCATCTGGCTCTGCTCCTTTTGAGATTCCAGGTACTTCTCGATTTTGAGCTTGTTCATACAGTCCATGAGGGCTGGATAGCTGCCTGAGAATGCCACAGGTGCACTGTCTGGTCCTACTTCCTGTACCCCGTGTTCCAGTTGCCCCCCAGCCAGCAGGGGTGGTCCTCATCCAGGTGCGTCTTGGGCAACTCAGCCTCCATCAGGCTGGTGTAGGCATCCAAACACTCGGGCTTCACATTGTGGAACTGGATCTTCTTGTAGAGGTTGCTGGTCTCCTCCTTGAACAGCAGGGTGGACAGGGAATGGGACCAGTTATCTTCATTGTCCTTGGAATAGAAACGTGGCCCAGGTGCAGCAGCAACATCCCTGGTGCAGGCCAGGTAAAGGGTTGGGGGAAGGGTAGCAGGCTCTGTGCTGCCACAGAGATGTTGCACAGTTGCTGAGCCATGTTGGAGAGAAGGAGGCAAGTACAGTTACACAACTAGAAAGTGAAAGATCTGGGATTGTGAACCAAGATCTCTCAGTTTCTGGAAGGTGTTCTCTTCCCTCTACCTTCTCCTCTGAGCAGGCCTAACACACTCACTCCCACAGCGTGCCCCGTGCCCCTCCTCTCTGTGAGTACCCCAGACTGCCTCTAGAAAGGGCACAGACACTTTCATATGGATTTTCCCCCAACACTTTTCTTTTTCTTTTGGCTCTCAAACTTTTTTTAAGTTGTAATATATATATTACCATTCTGACTATTTTAAGTGTACAATCAATTGCCATTAAGTAACAATCACTACTATCTATTTCCAGAAAAAAAGTTAATCGTTTCAACAGAAACTTTGTACCCACTTAGACAATACCTTCCCAATCCCTTCTCCTCTCAGTCCCTGGTGTCCCTAACATTTTATTCTGAAAACATTTCAATGTTCAAAGAAAGGTTGATAGACCTTTACAGTGAACACCCATATATCTACCACCAAGATTCTACAATTAATGTTTTGCTGTGTTGTTTTATCATCCATTCACAATTTAGTCATCCTTCCATTCATTGATCCATTTTTCGTTACGCATTTCAAAGTTATAGGCAATAGTATATTTCATGTCTAAAGACTTCAACACCTATAACATTAATTAGAGCTTATGCTTATTTTTTAAATGTAAACTTTACACACTGTGAAATGCATAAATCTTAGGCTTTTGTGAGAGGAGTTTTGACAGATGAATATACCTGCGAGGCCCAAACCTTTATCAGGATATAAAACTGTGCTGACTGTGCTGTTCATAAGGGCAGCCACTAGCCACAAGTGGCTAATTTTAAGTTTAAAGTAACTAAAATTAAATGAAATAAAAAATGCAGTTTTCTTGAGTGCCAGCCTGCAAACCAAAGGGTTGCAGGTTGAATTCCCAGTCAGGGCATATGCCTGTGTTGTGGGCCAGATCCCCAGTTGGGGACGTGTGAGAGGCAACCACACACTGATGTTTCTCTCCCTCTCTCCCTCCCTCCCTCTGTCTAAAATAAACAAAATATTTTTAAAATAAAAAATAAAATAAACAGTTTTCATGTACCCGGGCCACACTTGAAGTGCTCAGTAGCCACATATGGCTCATGGCTACTCCGCTGAACAGCACAGATATGGGACACTTCCTCCACTG